CTCCCTCCACCTCCACCTCCCTCCACCTCCACCTCCCTCCACCTCCACCTCCCTCCACCTCCACCTCTCCCTCCCCTTCTCCAAACCCTCTCTCCCAGTCCCTGCCCCTCCCTCCCCCAGTGGTGTGTCACAGGGATCGGTGCTAGGTCCACTGCTTTGGATGTAAGTACAGGAGGTACGGTTAGTAAGTTTGCAAATGACCCCAAAATTGGAGGTGTAGTGGACAGTGAAGAATGTTACCTCCGGAGTACAACGGGACCTTGATCAGATGGGCTGATGGACCAAGGAGTGGCAGGTAGAGTTTAATCTAGATAAATGTGAGGTGCTACATTTTAGTAGGACAGGACTTATACACTTAATGGTAAGGTCCTGGGGAGTGTTGCTGAACAAAGAGACCTTGGAGTGTGGGTTCATAGTTCCTTGAAAGTAGAGTTGCAAGTAGATAGGATAGTGAAGAAGACATTTGGTACGCTTGCCTTTATTGGTCAGTGCATTGTGTATATGAGTTGGGAGGTCATGTTGCAGCTGTACAGGACATTGGTTAGGCCACTATTGGAATACTGTGTGCAGTTCTGGTCTCCCTGCTATAGGAAAGATATTGTTAAACTTGAAAGGGTTCAGAATAGATTTACAGGGATGTTGCCAGGGTGTTGAGCTATAAGGAGAGGCTGAATGGGCTGGGGCTATTTTCTGCTGAGTGTTGACCTTGAGGGGTATGGATAGGGAGAATAGTCAAAAGGTTTTCCCCCAAGATAAGGGAGTCCAAAACTGGAGGGGCAAAGGTTTAAGGTGAGAGGGGAAAGATTTAAAAGGGATCTGAGGGGCAACATTTTCACACAGAGGGTGGTATGTGTGTGGAATGAGCTGCCAGAGGAAGTGGTGGAGGCTGGTACAATTACAACATTTAAAAGGCATCTGGATGGCTATATGGATAGGAAGGGTTTAGAGGGATATGGGCCAAATGCTGGCAAATGGGAGGGAAGGAGAGAGAGAGGGAGGTGGAGGGAAGGAGAGAGAGAGAGGTGGGGGG